CTGAAAAAGACTTGAAAATCCAGCCTGCAGTGACTGACAAATTATTTTGAATACAAGTGCTTTAAACATCATAAAAAATTAGATGAAAAATTAGATGAAATTAATTTTCAAGACAAGGGAATCTAAATATATTATATTTAAAGAAAAGGGAAATTTTAGCATTATACTTGATAAATAATATATATGACAAACTTAACAGTATTATAATATATCATAAATAGGAATAATGAAACATACAAAATAATGAAAACATACAAAATAACCAACATTAATTTATTCCTTTAGGCTAAACAACAAGAGGCTAAAATACTGAAAAGGAAAGAAATACAGAGTTTTTTTTGAAACAAATATTTGAAATGCAGGAATTTTTAGCACGGTTTAGTTTAGACTGAGTCTAGAAAAAAATCATTTATTTGTGACATATATTTAAAATATAGCTCTGTGACATCACTGTGGAAAAAAATGAGTTCAAGAAGTGAAGGGAATCCATAGGTTAAGCAGACTGCTTAAGTCGTAAGGCTGGTTGGTTTTGAAGAAAGATCTTAGAAAAACTGAAATCTCCAACAGACAAAATAGGTACATTTTTAGTAGTCTAGTGAAAATACCAAAGTCTGAAATTTCTCTTTATTTGGAAACTAGAAAAATACTTCGAGTCATTTTGTGTATTATATATATGTATACATATATATATTTTAAAACTTTTAAAAATTAGCTAAGACATGCAACTTCCAGTATTTCAAGATTAGAAATAATGTTGGAATGAATATTCATTTTGTTTTAAGCCTTCCACTGTATTATCTACTGTTAAACCAACAAGCAATGTTTTGGGAAATTAAATTCTATTAGGAAAAAGCGGGATTTTATCAGTCCTTGTTCTTGTTGACCTCTTTGCTGTTTCCTGCGCCTCTAAGTCTTGATTGTTGCTTTTCTTGTTTTTCACTATCTAAATGCTTTCTTGCCTCCGTCACTCCTCTATCTCCTTGCTGGTTATGCTTCTTCCTCCTGACTCTGAATGTGGACTTAGTCCTTGACACTGCTGTTTCCTCACAAGAGTCTTTCCTTAGAAGGCTCATTGAGAATCTCCTTAACCCTCTACCCTGGCTGTGACATTTTCCCCTGAGATTTATTTCTTCACCTCTATTTGCCAGCTGAACATATTTCTCACGGCCGGTTATGTTGGAGTCTCTGAAGTCAGCTTTAGCTATTCTCTTTCCACTGTCTCCAAATCAAATTAGTCACAATTCCTCTTTTCTGATTCATCGTCTCAGATTAGCAGGAGTCCAAAGCCCTGCTGGTTTTGTAAACATAAAGATAGGATGGGCTGGTGCAGGTGGTCAAGCATAATTCAATATTTGGCTTCCTGTGGTGAGGTCCAAACTGGGAGCAGGGAGCCAGCCTGATCAGAACTCCTTCCCAAAGTGCTGGACAGAGTATCAGAATCTAAGATGAGGCAAAGCAGTGGAAACAGGGGATATAAGACTTTAAGAAATGGGTCTGAAGTGGAGAGTGGGAAGTGAAGTCTGCTAGAATTCCACAAGCTGTCAGAATATCACCATGGGTATTTTTATAAAGCATCTTTAGCCTTATAAAGGGAAAGCTGTCTTAGAAGCACTTCCTTTTTATGAAGATTGTAACAGTCTCCCAGTTGGGTTGTGGAGCTCACAAGTCTTCAGTACGTCTTATATATTACTCTTAGATTTTGATCCTTGAAATGATCTCTTTTCCTATGTTTCTTCCTCCTTCAAAATTTTATTGACTTTCTTTTTCCCACAGACAAAATGCTTTGCCAGGCAACGGAAGCCTCCCAGATCTTTTACCCACTTCTTATATGGGAGTCCACATTCCAGGAAAACCGGGCTACTTAATACTCAGGCTATGCAATAAGTGATGTCCGCACCATTCTCACACTCTTCCTATATTATTCCTGTCACAAAAAATAACATCCACAATTTTTTGATGAATGTGAGCCTCCAGATTTTCTTTTTTTTTCTTTTTAAAAGTAGAGATAGAAACACTTTATTATTGAATAAGCATTAAACCAGAATGTGATGTGCATCACTGGCAATACTCTAAGACATTGCAAAATAGACAATGTATGTATGTGTGTAGCCAAGAAGATACGACCTGCTACATGCATGTTTTCATGATAAACAGTAAGTAAGTATCAAGAGGACTTGATAGCACCATTTGTCACACACAGTTCATCCCACCTTCACCGGATTATTAGGGTGACTATCGGTTAGCTTATGGGCTTCATCTAGAGGAAAAACTAACTTCCCATGTCTTTATGACATGAAGGAGTTTTGCCAACTGGAATGAGGTACCCACTGAGGTCAGTCTCCTACCCTTCCTTGGAAACTGGGAGAAGGAGGAGCTTCTGCCTTGATGTATACATTTCAGAAAGATGGCTCCCAGGTTCTTGAGAAAGACATTCATGGGTCAAACAACTGGGGGAAAAAAAAAGGCCACGTGACAAAAGGCCTGTCTGGTCTTCAGTGGGATATACATATTAAAGAGATGAGAGAAAGCACTTAGAAGTCTTCTAAAGTAAGTACTCTGAGAAAAC